CAGCTCCAAGGGTGAGTCCTGATTAGTGTAAGCTGTTATTTAATCTTGGGTAGAACTAACCAGACTGAAGGGGAAGATATACTCTAGGATGGCAGGGACAGATCACACACTGCTTATAGACTGAATTGGTTACCACTAATTTCAAGGAGGAAGCCAGCCTCTGAATAACAACTTTGGGAAGAGCAAGGCAGAGAAAGAAACTGGATCTGTGATGAAGTCATTAATTTGCTGACTCAAATAATTTTGGAATCTACTATTCTGCACTTCCTATTATGTATCCTAATATGGTTCTTTTCAAGCAAATTTAAGTCAGGCTACATAAAACCTTATTTATGCAGTCAAAAGCATCCTAATTAATATGGAAAGAAATCAATCATTTGGAATTCTCTTCTTAACAAAACAGCTCAAATAGTATACGTTAATATGTGTTAACACCTTAATCCTTAGAACTGTTTATAATTATCTTTTGATCATAAAAAGAAGTTTAACTATCCCATCTGCCACACTGTCTGTCTGTCTCAGGAGTCACTAAGAAAAGATATTAGTATACATGGATGCATCTTTCTTAAAAATTTAGAAAGGAAAAAAAACTTACATATATTTATAAATTTTTGCTTTTTATGTCAACAAATTCAAAAAAGGAAAGAACAATCTTCGGTCCCTTCTAGGGCTTGCATTTAATTGACAATAATAATCAGATTTAGTTTATAAGAAAATTGAGGCAATTCATATATATAACCGTTTGTAACTCATGTATGAACAGCGCATTTTATACATGCACAATCTTTTGTATCTGTGGAAACAACTACTATAATTCATAAAAAAGAAAAACATGTTCACTTTATTTATAGTGACATGTCATGGTTTATTAATAACAAAGGAATCAAAACCCAAGGGTTTTGTTTGATGACTGTGTAAAAATAAATCTGGCTTATTAACTATACACCTCATTAGTTCTTTATGGTAATACACAAATATTGCCAAGCAAATATTAAAAGACTAAAGTTTACTGTTGCCAAGTTGCTGGGGCTAACCATCAATTAAAGAAACAGTTAAACCAAGAAAAAACACTTGAACTTCTGCAGTCATAGCTCAAGGAAATAGAGGGCAAAAACAAGAGGTGACAACATTCTGAGTCCACCTTTGAATTCTTAATATCTGACTCTAGCAGAATGAACCAAAAACTTCAGTTTAGCAAAATAGATGTGTGACTTCATATATATCACACCTCACAGCAGCTGGAAGGCACAATCAAATGTAAAAAATCTAGTAATCTATTACAGCAGGAAACAGAAATCTGCACTTATTAAAGGGTAAAGATGAACATATAAATTGTTGTATTAAGAGGAAGGACGGGGTGCCTGGCTGGCTCAGTTGGAAGACCACATGATTCTTGATCTCAGGTTGGGAGCTGGAGCCCCATGTTGGGTGTAGAGATTACTAAAAAATAAATAATAAATAAACTCTTTTTTAAAAAGAAGGATAAATGAGGAATGGAAATTCAATGCAATAAGGGCAACTGGTTGGCAAATGGTTCAACAGTTTTCAAATTGCTTAGTGCTAAACCGTTATTGTTGGAATCAAATCTCAGCATCCTATCAGGATGACACCCTTAGGGGCTGCTTAATAAATTACATTCAAAACTGTCAGTCTTGTTGAATACATACTTCTTAGAAACTTCTTCAGCTTAAAACAGAAACAGCTGAAGTAACAGCTATCCACCATTGCTTTTATCTTGAAGGCATGAATTCTTAAAACCTCCAGTTAATGAAGGACAAAATTTTAAAAGGTGGAAGGAGCCTTAGGAAGTCACTTCTAATCCAAACTCCGTATTAGGCTAGGAGAATCTAATGAATACATTAAGCAAAGACTTTTGAGAGCTTTCTATCTTCAAAACTCAAATGTTGGTTGCAAGGGGTGACACAAATATATCTAAAACCTGATACCTCCTCTCAAGGAATCTATAGGATGCCCCAAGGAATTATAGACTGTGAAACCGAATACTGTACCATAATAAAGATAAAAATAAAATCCTAAGAACCAAGAGGAGTCATCCCGCAAAATAAAAAGCTTCAGGAAATGCTTAAGTGATGTTTGAGTTAAATGTGGAACAAGAGGTCAAATCTGGACATTTGGCAATGCAAGGGAAGGGCATTCCAGGCAGTGAGAATAGAATAACTCTGAAGCCCTATACAAACAGACCTCATTTCCAAATACTCTTTCCTTACATAGTCTGCTTTGGCCATGCTGTTTCTTGGTGTTCTTCAAACAGGACAGGATCTGCAAACAGCCATTCCATCCTCAGGGCCTTTGCATCTGCTGCTCCCTCTGCCTGGAATGATCTACCCTCAGATTCCTGCAAGGCTAGCTTTCTTAACCTACTTCAAATCTTTGCTCAAATGTCACCTGATTTTCAGTGAGGACTTACTTGACTATCCTATTTTAAATTGTCATCCTCACACTCCCTTGTCACCACTTTATTTTTTCCACAGCACTTACTACTATCTGACATGGTATATATATATATTCTACTACTTATTAGCTTTGTCCATCCCCCTGCTGAAAGACCAGAAGTTATTTTTGTTCATGTCTAGATTTTAAAACACTGCCTGGACATGGTAGACATGAAATGAATATATGCTGACAAACTGGCTGATGGCATAAAGGAATGGAAAAGATTTCTGCCCTGAAATAAGTTATGTTACAGTACTCTTGACCAACAAAAACAAATATATAGTTGGCAAAACCCAATTTAGGAAAGACTAATGCACAGATACAGTTCCTGGCATTACCACTTCTACATGTCCAGTGAGCACCAGATTCTTCTTTTTACACCTCTTAGCTCCCTGTCCCCAGTAACACTGTCCCTAACGCAATGGCCAAAAATGACATGAGAATTGCCAGTGATGCCAGGCATCAGTGCCTTCCCACAGTAACCTTCATTGCTACCTCTAAGCAAAGGTAAAAGGTACTTCTACTTCCATTTTTGGACAAGAGAAAGATGTATTCCTGGATTTCCAAATTAAATACATCTTTCTGAGGATGCTTAAATTCTACACTACTTGAGTGGTTACATTGATATCATGAATTAGCCAGGAAACTTACAATTTTGAATACTGTTACTAAGTGTAGCTATGAAAAAACACATCTTTGATTTCTGTTTCAGTATTGCAAAATACTTTTTCTATACTGCCAACACATGACCCAGGGAATACGGTTTTAAGAAAAAGATTCCTCCAATAAAGACCAATACTGTATTTTAGGCAAATGGGTAACAATTTACAGCGAAGGGCATTTTTTTTTCCCACTCAGAAGGATCAACTATGATTTTATTCTGGGTGAAAAAATGGCATCGAGTTCATAAACAAGAGCATTAGTATTTGAATTATACTATACTAAAACCAAACAGGAACAGAAAAAAATATTCTTTATCACCAGCAGAAGCAAAATTACTTAAGGAAATGAGGAATAAGCTCAAGATTTCTCACTTCAGCTAACACCTCCACAGACTGCATTATCATTTTAAGCGAAGTGACATTTTCACATTTAATTTTTAACGGCAGGCATCATTTCCATCTGGGGTTCATCCGCACAAAAGTGCTAGCCTTGGCACAATTTCAATATTTAACCGAAAGTTCATTTCTGACTATAAGCAAAATGCCTCGATACGACCCAATAGTTAATACCTCTACATGAATCCTTAACACTGGCAGCTCAATTTTACGTTTTACCTAGTGGTGAATTTTGCCTTCAGACAGACACCTATGTCTGTAACCCTCCCTCAATCATCAAGAAATGACTTATCTTTACCCCCCCTTAAAACCTGCATTTTTTTTTTTTTTGCAACACCATTTACACTCCACAGAGAGTTTTACGAATATGACCATTCTTCGTAAGTAGAAGAACAGCTACAAACGAGACCCCATTCCCTTAGGTAGAGAAATGCCAAACCAGCAGCTCCCATCCTAACTTTCAGGTGGGGACAGTCACAGCTGTCACGGGTCAAACGTCGCCAGTTATTATTGCAGGACCTCCTTCACGGCCACTAGGGGAAAAGCCCCATAAAACAATGTTCGGTCCTCACTGATCTTTTTCTCTAATAAGGAGACACCTGAAAGTCACACTGGGTGGCCGATGGCTGTAACGGCAGCACCCAGGGGAGACTGTGCAGAGCGAGCGCTTAGGCGAAAGCAGGAAGCCCAAGTTCCTGCGCGACGAGAGGACTACCGGGAAAAACAGGAGCCCATCTGCCCACAGGAGGCGAGAAAGAAGTCGGCCGGGAGAGGCTGCGAGTCGGGGAGGTGGGGCGGCGAGCCCCGGCCGCAGGCCGGAGCGCCGGGTGGGGGGCGGGCGCAGGTGGGCTGCGGCCGCCCGACCGCCGAGGGCCCCCCCGCCCCGGGAAGTCCCCAGGGCCTCGCCCGCGCCGCGGGGAAGCCGCCCAGCCCACAGACGGGCGCAGGAGCCGCCGGGGCAGAGCCACGTCGGAGGACAGAAGCGCGGCGGGAGGTGAGCATCCCTCTTGCCCCCAGCGGGAGGCTGACAGCCCGGGAGCGCGAGGCGGCCGGGGGCGCGCGAAGGGCCGCCGCGCGCCGGAGGGGGTCGCCCTGAGGGCGCTGCCAGCCGCCACCGACTCCCCCTCGCGCGGATCGGCGGCGCCGGGATACTCACGTAGGGCTGGTAGAACTTGGAGAGCCGCGGCTTCCCGTGGTTGTTGAAGATGAGGATCGCCTTGATCATGGCTGAGCCGGGCCGACCGGGTGGGCGCTGGGGGCCAGGGCGGGGGCGGGCGCGCGAGCCTCGCCTCGGGATCTCGCCGGCGATCCTTCCCCACCCGCCCCCTCCCGCACGCGCGCGCGCGCGCTCCCGAGCCGCGGGGCGGGGCCGGGGCGGGGCCGGGGCGGGGCCGGCGCGAAGGGAAGCGGAAACATCTCCGGTCCCGAGGCCGCTAGTCAGAGAGGCGCATGCGCACTTGGCGGCGCGCGGTTACGTGGTTTGCAGACTTCTTCCGGAGGATTGTTGCCGTGCAAAAGCGTAGGTGCGGTATTAACAGTCAGGGCTCTGCGACAGGTTCCCCGTAGAGGACCAACCGCCAACTCCCAACTTTCACCTTTGGGTTGGGTTCCCCCCACCACCACTCCGGCGCCTCCTTAGCGACGCCCCCGGCGTAAAGCCCGCCCATTGTTGAGCACGCCGAGCCACCACTTCCGCCCTCGCCTTCCACTGAGCAAGATGGCTGAGGAGCCGGAGTCCGCGTTGCAGCTCCCTCCCTCAACTGCTGCTGATGGCGAAGGACCTACAGAGGTCTCCCCAGAAACAGCCACTCCGGAGCCCCCTTCTTCCGCCGCGGTCTCCCCGGGGACAGAGGAACCTGCCGGCGACACGAAGAAAAAAAGTAATTTTGAGAGCAGTTTCTTTCTAGGCAGAGGCGGGAGGTTTAGATTGCGTCCGACTAGGTCCCTGGCGGCCGATAAAGGGGCAAAATTTAGAGGAGGGCTGGTCCCAGTCGTAGCTTTTGCCCAGTGAGGAGAGAGGAAGGGTAGTTTTCGGCTTTCGGGACCTTTGAGTTGAGAGCCTCGCAGGGGAGCCGTCTCTGGACGCACCTTCGCGGTGTGGTGCGGGTCCTTGGCCGCCACAGTACTTGTTACACTGCATTCCACTCTTCCTTTGAGTTGGCCAGACTGCGGGCTCTTTGAAGGTGGGAGCCGAGTGGGATCTCGGCTGGCTCCAGGGACCTAATATGGGACGTAATTATTTGATTAATGACTTAAGGTTTTAGGGATGGTCGGTAGCAAGTCTGGATTAGAATCCGCGCCTTCCGGCAAGTTCGCTGCTTCTTACGTCAACTGCGTGTGAATTCACTCCTTGTACCAAAAAAAAAACCCAAAAAACCCTGAAGTTTTACCAAGTATGAAGAGTGGTAAGAGAAAACCAAAGGCATAGGTATCGCCTTCTCCTCCGCCCTACCCCAAACCACCCCAAAGGTTTGGAACTTTTATAAGCGAGTCATTTCATTGCTTGAATTAGTCCTCGATCCTTCATGGCTTGCGAATTGGTTCGCCATTGTAAAATATGGAAAATCCTAAGGAGGTCACTTGTCCTTGAGCATTCTGTGTAGAGTTGCCTCTGAGAAAATCCTCACATCAGCGATTACGATTCGGATTGGTTGACCCTAGGCCTCGGTTTTTCTCAGTACAGAGTTTTAAAGTATGGCTGTGGCATGTTTTGTACTCCGTGATCTCACAGCCTTTCTATAGAACTTCCGCTTCTGCTGCTTTTGGAGAACGGTCTCCTGGCACTCTCTCCCTTCGAAGTCAGACCACCTCTACCTTTGGGGGGAAACTTACTCTCATTTCCACATGATGCCCTAGTAGAGTAACAGAAGCTTGTGATTATTTCTGTAAAGAAGCACTAGAGTCTTTCTGAAGAATTCCATGATTTTTACAGATTCTTGCTCGGTTTTTTCCTCATTTTACTATAAGCAGAAACAGACTTTTCCAGGGTTTTTTGTTGTTGAGAGTTTTTTTTGTTTGTTCGTTTTTTGGGGGGAGGGGGTTGACTTTGACAGCCTTAGTCAAAAGCTTACTACTTGACCCTGAAGATAGCTGAGTAAAACAGGCAAAAAATTAATGGCCCATAACCCGGATATGGCCTCAGGTTATATGGTATGTTTTCTTTGGTCTGCATAGTTTTCTTTTTCCTTAAACCACCGTTGAAAAATAGTATTTTCATTTTCTGGCCCTTGGGCATTTGAGTTTGCCTCTGATGAAAAACTTAGTTTCTAGCTATTGAATTTCTACCCTCAAGTTACCGTCCTTTTTTGAGGACCTCTTAAGGAAGAAGCTTCAATATTTCATATGCTCCACCTTTAGTTTAAGCTACAGAAGAATAAGGATTCCTGAAGCTGACCAAGGTTGTTGGTCCTTAGGAACTAATTAAGATTACTTGGGAGAACTTTGGACCTTACCAATGCACTACTTAGAGAAGATTCTAATGTAATTGATGTGGATACCTGTATTCTTGTAAATGTTAATTCTAATGTATAGTTATAGTTGAGAACTCTAAGCAAATCACCTTTAGAATTAAAAAAAAAAGTTACAGCTGTAACTACAGTAAGTAACTTTCCTTCTTTAGCTTCTTGCCTTCCCGCTTTTCTTCCTTCAGTGTATATATAACTCAGTATTTTCTGCCTCACTTGCTGAAATACCCAGGTCCCAAGGGATTAAGGGAGTTATGGAAGCTGAGTCAACCAAAATCTGCTCTGTTATCTCCCAGTTCATTAAATAACTGAAGCTATAATTATTAAATGGAGAAAGGAAGGTAAACTTTCAGGAAGATAAATTGTATGTGTCCTGTGTTCTAGGTACCTTCATTCCAGGGGCAAACTTAAATAAATTGACTGCAGTGACCTGGTGGGAATCTCAATTTTTAATACCAAAGAATGAAACAAGGAAGATGTAGTAGCATGGAGCTAACTTTAGGGGGCAGCAGTACACTATTTTGCTTTCAGTATTACTTTTGGGATTGTAGATACCTGATTTTTTTAAGATTTTATTTGTCAGAGAGAGAGAGCACAAGCAGGGGGAGCGGCAGGCAGAGGGAGAAGCAGGCTCCCCGCTGAGCAGGGATCCCGATGCAGAACTCGAATCCAGGACCCTGGAATCATGACCTGAGCCACCCAGGCATCCCTGTCTGGATTATTGAAACTTGATTTCACTGTCTGAAATCTTTTGGCTCCTAGTTGTATTTTCTTTTTAATACTTTTTATTACTTAATATTAAGTATATTGTAGAAAACTTGGTGGTTACAAAAAGCACAAATAAAATCAAGTGATCGTCTGTAATGTCACTACTGAGAAGTAGCAGTTTGGTTCATATTCCACATTTCTGTGAACGTGTGTTTGTGGTGGTTTTAATGAAATTGATATCCTATTGTACATTGCTGTTTTGTATTTAGTACATTTTGATAACTTGGTCATACTGTTAAGTATGCTTTTATAATGTTTCTCTCATGGCAGCTTAATAATCTTAGGGTTCAGTAAGTATGAGTTATTAGCTGATACTGTTCTAAGTACTTTACATGTATTAACTAATTTAATCCTCACAACAGCCTTGTGAGGTAGATGATATCCTCACTTTACAAATGGAGAAACTGGCACAGGGTGATTAAAAGCTTGTCCCCATATATATCCCTAGCAAGTGATAGAAGCAGGATTTTGAACCCAGGGAATTTAGAATTTTGTGCTTTACTATATTATATAAATTCTATCATAGAGTGTAATATCCTTTATTTAACCAGTTTTCTAAATATCCTTGCTGGGTATTTAGGTTTACCAAGGTTTTGTTTTTTTGTTTTTTGCTTTTTTCCCTGTAAAAATAAAATCTTCAACAGAGGTGAAATCCTTCTAAGTGACTCTTCACACCTCATATTTTCTTAGACTAGATTCCTAGAAGTGTTACTGAGCCAAAGTATATCTTGAAGTATTTGGATATCTGTTACCGTAACGTTCTCCAGAAAGGGTATACATACAATTGTGCTTTCCTAACAGCAATATTTTTTTTTGAGATTTTATTTATTTATTTGAGAGAGAGAGAGAGGGATAAGAGAGAGCACAAGCAGTAGGGGAGTGGGAGAGGGAGAAGCAGGGTCCCCGCTGAGCAGGGAGCCCGACATGGGGCTCGATCCCAGGACCCTGGGATCATGACCTGAGCCAAAGGCAGGCACTTAACTGACTGAGCCACCCAGGCACCTCTCCCAACAGTAATATTGTCTGTACCCTTGTAATTTTACTAGTTTGCCCATTGAAAAAGAACATAACATTATCTTCGGTATTTTTTTCTTTTCTATTATCTTTTCTTTTATCTTTATTTCTTTGGAATTACCTGTTATGTCCAAATGCATTTTAAAGGTCAGTTTCATGGGGAGACCATTGTGGAACTGTAGAATCAAGGGGAAAAGTCCACAAAAGCATGAGAAAGAATATACCTAACATTTCTACATCTTGGACATGCCTCCAGTATCATAAATACATAAACTGTATATCGATTAAAGTTTTAAGTTTTTGAAGTCTTTTATATCACATTTTCTTTGGGTGGTTCATTGTAATTGCCAGTGTTTTTTTCTTTGACAGTTGATGTCCTGTTGAAGGCTGTGGGAGACACCCCTATAATGAAAACAAAGAAGTGGGCTGTAGAGCGAACCCGAACCATTCAAGGACTCATTGACTTCATCAAAAAATTCCTTAAGCTTGTGGCCTCTGAACAGTTGGTATGAAAGCAACGGTGATCATTTCCCTGCGTAAATTCACAGTAGTTCCTAGGCAACTATGAATAATTGTTGTACACAGAAATGAATATGGAGCCACATATGTTCCTTTAGAAATGTCTTTATTTCTTTTGTTGATGGGATTTCTGTACTTTATTGAATTCTCTGTGGAACTCTGAAATGAAATGATTTTTAGATTTGCTTTTATGGTGCAAACCACTTTTTTACCTACTGTATTGGTTTGTTTGTTTTTTCTCAGTCACTGCCCATGCAGAAAGATCTCTCATAAAACATTAGTACAGAGAAGTTCTGGGATTTTTAAAATTTGTTTTGCTATCAGTGTTCCTTCCCAGTACTCTTGAGGTAAGCAATATATCTTTTGCAATGTCATGGAAGAACTAAGAGAGATACCTATTTCATAGTACAGTACATGGTAAGCACTTTGTGCTGGTGTTTGTAAGGATTAATATTTTATTATATTTTTTGAAGATTTTATTTATTTATTTGATAGAGCAAGAGAGCACACGCAGGGGGAGAGCAAGAGAGCACAAGCAGGGGGAACAGGAGAGGGAGAGGGAGAAGCAGGTTCCCCGCCAAGCAGGGAGTCTGATGCGGGGCTCAATCCCAGGACTCTGGGATCATGACCTGAGCCGAAGGCAGATGCTTAACCATCTGAGCCATGCAGGTGCCCCAGGATTAGTATTTTAAATGCCACTGGTTTTTAACTTGGTATTTTACTACAGAATTTTAAATGGCTACATGTATTTGGTATTTCTTTTTTTGTCACGTGTTATAAGTAATATATCAGACACCTTTATCTGCAGATCATAATCTTGGTTGGTACTAACACGGGTAGTATATGAGTAGTTAGGTAAATGAAGAATCACTAAGTATTTTTAAAATACAAATTAGGATTTGTATGTATTAGTGTTGGGGAGGGATATAGTTGCTTATGAACTTAGAAGTAAGAATGCATAAAATGAGTGAATTAATTTATTAAAGTGGTATGTGTTGGAATTTCTTTCTTTCTGTCATTGAGGAGGAAGAAACTGACCTAAGAGTTTGGCTATAAGTGGCTCTCATGAAAGGATTATAGGTACAAAAGTAAGTGCCTGGTAGGTCAATCGCTAGAAGGTATTTGAAGCAGGAATAGCATAGAGCCAAAGATTCCTCCAGAGGAAGTTGCCTTTGTGATCAACTAGAGTGAGAAAATCATGTTTTGTAAGAGTGCCATATAGAATTTAATTAAAGAAATGCCAGAGATGGATGCATATGGTAACTAAAACCTCAGGAGCAGAGGACTTGACTAGCATCCAAGTCTAAATGGAAAAGTTAGGGGACTGAAGACATAGACTTGAGAGAAATGAGTAGAGGCTATCTGTGCTAAGGTTGCAGCCTGAAGAGTTGGTGAAATAGAAAACCAGAAGAGTACCAAAAAATTAAGGCATTACTATAAGAAATTTATGAAAAGAAGATGAAACGCTGCTATGTCCTATGTTAAGAGTCTTGACTCTTTGTGTTGCCTATATTCCGTAGTCTGAAAGGACTTGATGGATAGCAATTTGTATTAGGTTGAACCATGTAAAATTGCCATCAGTCAACCATTATAACATAGAAAAATGGCAATTTCATGTGGTTCAACTTTATTTTTATTTTTTAATGGTTTTTTTTTTTAAGATTTTATTTATTTATTTGACATAGAGAGTGAGAGAGCACGAGCAGCAGAGGGAGAAGCAGGCTCCAGACTGAGCAAAGAGCCTGATAGGGGCTCGCTCGATCCCAGGACTCCGGGACCATGACCTGAGCTGAAGGCAGATGCTTAACCAACATGAGGTGTCACTCATGTGGTTCAACTTTAAACCTTTGTAGTGAATCTGATTAGTTCTTTCCATTTAAGCAGTAAGAAACAAAGTAGAATCATTTGTCACTTCCCTAGACTGAACTAGAACTCACATCTGACTTTCATCTAGCTGTACCCCACAGTATTTTAAGCAAAATGGATGTTAAGGAAAACATATGCTAGGGATTCTGTGAAGATAGCAGTGGTGTCAGAAGCATGATTGGATCTTCAGATTCCCACAAAAATGTTTTCTTTTTTTTTTAAAGATTTTATTTATTTTTCAACAGAGAGACAGCAAGAGAGGGAACACTAGCAGGGGGAGTGGGAGAGGGAGAAGCAGGCTTCCCGCTGAGCAGGGAGCCCAATGCGGGACTCGATCCCAGGACCCTGGGATCATGACCTGAGCTGAAGGCAGACGCTTAACGACTGAGCCACCCAGGCGCCCCCACAAAAATGTTTTTGACTAGACAGCAAAACCAAGAAACAGTTGATCCGTATTTATAACAAACCAGATAGGGGAGTATCCTCATGAACCCTAAAATGCATGGTATCACCAGATGTACTGAAGGAAGCAACAGGATTGGCACCTGGCAGTACTGAGAGAAGGAAAGCCGGTATTCACGGGGAAGGAGAGCAGGCCAATTTAAGTATGGTAGCTGAAATTGAGAGGGTTTGCTCCTCTCTGGTAGCAGGTGATTACAATGCATCTGTCCCAAGGAGGACTGAAGAGGCTGGAGCAGTCTAGCCCCAGAGGGCTCTCCAAACAGACTCAGTAGGGCTCCCTTGCAGGACAAGACCCCACACTGAGGAGGAACTTCTGGAAGTGAAACAGAATTGAACAAGGTTAGGAACATAAGAGAAGGAGAGAGAAAGACCAGATAAAGAGGAGGGGAACAGGGTGGAGAGCTAAAGTTAAGAAAACTAATTACATATTAAAATAAGCAACAGAGGGGCTCCAGCGTAGCACAGTTGGTTAAGCATCTGACTCTTGGTTTCTGCTTGGGTTCTGATCTCAGGGTCGTGAGATCGAGCCCCATGTCAGGCTCTGCCCTTGCGCAGAGTCTGCTTGAGATTCTTTCTCTTCCTCAGATCCTCCCACTCATGCTCTCAGTCTCTCAAATAAATAAGTAAATCTTTAAAAAAAAAATAAGCAATGGAGAAGTAGAGTGTCAAATCCCATACAATGTTATAAGAAAGAAAAATAACATTTCTAAAGACGATGAAGCCATGCCAGAAAGATGTGCCTGTGATACAGGTCGGTAACTAACTTAATATTTCAAAACGAGCTAAAAGACATTAAGAAAATGATACAAGATGTGAAAGAACAATAGAAATTAGAAAAACAGCATTAGAAAAACTCAGTTGAAGTGACAGAACTCAGGGAAAGAATTATAAATAAAAGTTATTTCAGAAATGGAGATTCGAGGGGTGCCTGGGTGGCTCAGTTGGTTAAGCGGCTGCCTTCGGCTCAGGTCATGATCCTGGGGTCCTGGGATCCAGCCCTGCATCTGGCTCCCTGTTCTGCGGAGAGCCTGCTTCTCCCTCTTCCTCTGCCTGCCACTCTGCCCTCTTGTGCTCTCTATCTGTCAAATAAATAAATAAAATCTTAAAAAAAAAAATGGAGATTCAAGTAGGAGAAACATAAGAGCAAATAACTGAGAATGCCTTAGGAAAAATAGAAGGCAAAAAACCCAATTTTTTTTTTTAGGAGAGAGGCAGAGGGAGAGGGGGAGAGAATCTTAAGCAGTCTCCATGCCCAGTGCGGAGCCCGACACAGGGCTCGGTCTCACAACGCTGTGATGAAATCAAGAGTCAGACACTTAATTGACTGAGCCACCCAGGAGCCCAGTAAAGGCCAATTTTTTTTCATCAGAAAGGTAAAAATTTCAGAAAAGGAGGCAAATAATTGAGTCTGAACAAAGGAAAGTGAACATACGGTTAACAGGAGTTCCTGAAAAAGCAAAGGAACAAAACAAATAACTAAAGTATAAATCAAGGGAAATTTCTTAATAAAATTTGAAACAACATATTGAAAAGTTACCTGAGAATATCAACAAAGAATAACAAGCACCAAGAAATATTCTGGTAAGATTAACTAGGCTTGAAATAAAAAGAAAAAACTCCTTTGGACACATAGGGAAAAAAAGACATGACTTTGAAAGAAAATTAGATTATCATCAAATGTTGATAGCAAAGTTATAAGGAAAGAAATTGTGAGATAAGAATTTTATATTCAACAAAGCTGACTTTTAAAGTATTTATTTGAGAGCGAGAGAGAGGGCGCGTGCATGCGAGCCTGGGAAATGCACAGGGGGAGGGAGAAGGAGAGATCTCAAGCAGACTCCAACCTGGAGCACAGAGCCCAACTCAGAGCTGATAGCAAGATCCTGAGATCATGACCTGAGCCAAAACCAAGAGTTGGATGCTTAACTGACAGAGCCACGCAGGCACCCCCAAAACTGATTTCAATAGACATAAACTATTAGCAATGTGCAAGAACTTGGAATTGTTCCCATGAACCTTTCCTGAGGAAGCTACTACAGAAAGAGCTTCATAACAATGAAAGTAAAGACCAGCGGTTTAAAAACAAAATCATTTTTTAAAATAATTTTATCTTCCCGAGTTGTAGCATTTAGCAAAAGATTGCATTGTGAACATTTTACTTCCATGGAATTTTAAATTAGGTGTATTGCTTTTTTTATTAGTTGCTTTCAATTGCTAATTCCTGTTACACGAACCACGTTGAGTTCCTGTAGTTCTCTACTACGTCTACTCTACTGTCCCCTCAACACTCACACTCCTTACTTTTTCCCCATTTGCCTCCAAAGCCCTGATTATTCTCTTCACCTAGTTAAATTCTGTTTATTTCTCAGGTATCTCCTCCAGGAAACTTCTCTGACCTTTCTGCTAGGCCGAACTAATGCCACATCTCTGTGTACTGTACACCTTGTTACGTGCACTTGTCCCATCCGTATTCTTATCTGTGTATGTCTGCCTCTCCATTAGATCAACAACTCATTGAGGGAAGAGATCATAATAATCTTCATAGTTCCACACTTTGTGCAGTTTCTAGCACATAGGAGACACTCATTGACTATTTGCTGAAGTAAACTGTCCTTGAGAGTCTTTATCCTAATTTAAAATATACAAAGAGTAAAATCTCTGTCCGCTCCAAGTGCCAGGAACTAAACACAAATTATGTGTTATAGAAAATTCACATTAAAATGTACACTGATTTCTGTTCTGAGTTTTTATGTTAGAACATTACTCAGTCCTAACGATGAATTGATAATTAAGCATGGACTATTTTGAAATAAGTTAATCATAACTCGTGTCTATTGAATACATATACCAGGCACTGACACATGATGTGTCTTATCTCATTTTATCTTTCCCAGCAGCCCCATGAAGCACAGGTACTGTTATTTTCCACACTTACAAATAAGGAAACAGGGTGAGAAAGGTTATTTGTATGTGGAGCCAAGATTCAAACCTAGATCTATCTCAGTAGAGCTTCTGTTCTTAATTACCACACTATATTGCCTCGGGGAGAAATGGAAGCAATATTTATTCTTGTAATACCTGGTGACCCGTGTAGTATCTCTCAACTAACTATTGCAATACAGTTTTTTTTCTTTTAAGACTATGTTAAGCCCAGGAAATTTTAGTCTTAGAAATTGATTACAAAGGAAAATTGAATGTCACTACAAGTAATGTTTTCTTGTTTTCTAAAAAGAAAATTATCAAAAGCCACTTTGACACTGTGACCTTTTGTTTCAGGATCTTCAGAAATGATTTTTGGTTTTGTTTTTGGTTTTTTTAAAGATTTTATTTATTTATTTGAGAGAGAAAGTGCACAAGCAGTTGGAGGGGCAGAGGGAAAGGGAGAAGCTAACCTCACTGAGCAGGGAGCCCCATGTGGGACTTGATCCCAGGACCCTAAGATCATGACCTGAGCTAAACAAAGGCAGATGCTTAACCGACTGAGCCACCCAGGCACCCCCAGAAATGGGGGGGGTGTTGTTGTTTTTTTAAGATTTATTTGACAGGGAGACACTGAGAGGGAACACAAGCAGGGGGAGTGGGAGAGGGAGAAGCAGGCTTCCTGCTGAGCAGGGAGCCCAATGCGGGGCTCAATCCCAGGACTCTGGGATCATGACCTGAGCGGAAGGCAGACGCTTAACGACTGAGCCATCCAGATGCCACCAGAAATGTTTTTTAAGTACTAGAAATATTTTAGTAAAAATAGACTAAACTGAAGCATTGGACAGTGAATCCTTTAAAGAATAAGGCTTTGTTACCTTTTTACTTCATTTATGTTACTTTGTTTTTTTTTTTTAACCTCACATGGCTGAAAGTGACTTAGTAGTGGTACTCTGCCTGAAGTTCAGTACCTTTGAGAGTTTTCAAAGGTGATAAAGGTAGGGGCGCCCGGGTAGCTCAGTTGTTAAGCGTCTGCCTTCGGCTCGGGTCCTGGTTCCTGGGATCGAGCCCCGCATTGGGCTCCCTGCTCCACGGAAAGCCTGCTTCTCCCTCTCCCACTCCCCCCACTTGTGTTCCCTCTCTCACTGTGTCTCTCTGTCAAATAAATAAAAGTCTCTAAAAAAAAACCAAAGGTGATAAAGGTAAAATATATATATATATACACACACACACACACACATATATATATATATCCAACAATGTGTGTCATTTACCCCCCCTCCAAGAAAATGCACAAGTAGCTCAAATATTAAATTTCTTGATTTTGGACTCTGTGTAGAATTTCATTAGGAGAAATTCTGTCTTTAATTATGAGTAAGTGGAAAAATTAATATTTCCAATAATTACTTTCTTGAATAAACCTCCAAATGCTACTTGTAAAGACAATATTTAAAAGTTTCTTAGTTATAAAAAGTTGGGAACCACTATTCTAGGACCAGAAATTCTGTTACTTTTACCAGAGGACAGATACGATTGATCTTTGAGAGATCTCATTAGTTGAGTAAGTTATTAGAATTAGGAGTCTGGGGAAGCTTTTTTTCGATTCTGAAGACAAATTGAAATAGCTGACAACCCAGAAGAGTGCAGTTTAATCAGGGTACCATTAAAAATGAATCATCTTTTTTTTTTCTTGCAGTTTATTTATGTGAATCAGTCTTTTGCCCCCTCCCCAGACCAGGAAGTTGGAACCCTCTATGAGGTAATACATCAGTACTTCGTTTTCTAATGGAGTATGCACATCTGTGCATATTATGTCATAAACTCAACATTTTAAGAGATGATATGCCATTCTTAGCTGTCATGAAAGAAGAGATTACTTTGTTATATCTAACACTTAGAACATAGTTGGATCTCAAATTACAGTGATGGAGGAATTAAGAAATGAATAATACCAACAGAAGATGACTTTGAAGTACAATAATCTAGTTCTGCCTCCCAAGATGTTGAAAAGGAAGGGCTACATAATAAGAATGACTTTATTCGACATTCTTAAAGTTTAATGGCCATAATCATTCGAGTGTGCACACTAGCACCACTACTAGAAAACAGTACATACCTTATCATCAGAGATGTAGGAAAGGGACAAGATAATATGCAAGCCCACCCATTCCTAAAATGCTAGTTTTTTGTTGTTTTAAAGATTTTATTTATTTATTTGACAGAGAGAGACAAAGCGAGAGAAGGAACACAAGCAGGGGGAGTGGGAGAGGGAGAAGCAGGCTTCCCGCAGAGCAGGGAGCCCGATGCGGGGCTTGATCCCAGGACCCTGGGATCATGAACTGAGCCCAAGGCAGACGCTTAATGACTGAGCCACCCAGGTGCCCCCAAAATGCTATGTTTTATTAAAATATATGATTATTGATATGAGTCCAAGAGTAACCTGGATCTGTTGAAAGAGTCTTGTAGATACTTACACGGATGAGGATATTTATGATATACATAACATTTTTTTCCTTAGTTTCATCTAGGGATAATAGAAATTATATGGAGTTTAATTTATTGCCTTTTTTTTTCCTTTTTGTAGTGCTTTGGCAGTGATGGTAAACTGGTCCTACATTACTGCAAATCTCAGGCATGGGGATGAAGTACAGAGAAAAAGCTCTTGCTAACCAGATGAATCTTCACAAAGCAAACAGCTCTGGAAAAAGTTGATACTTGTGACAAGAGACTTGTGTATGTGATCTACACAGCATGTATCTTCTATGAATCATGTTTATGCATAAAGAAATCCATAGAGTAGATGGACTCACAAAAATGTGATTTGTATTAATACACAAATCATCGTAAAAGATTGGCTTTACAGTATACCCATTACTACAACTATTGTTCCAGATCAGCCACCAAGGAGTTGAAAAAGGAGCCTAAGACTGTAGAAAACTTCTTTGTTACCAGTTCTCAGTGACTGAAATTGTTTACTTGTAGAGAGAACACTCTGCTGCTTTTTTTCCCCACTGTGAAAGTCAGTTTTCTAAAGGATTCTTTTTGTGCGTATTCAGGGAAGTTCAGTCTGTGTGAGGTATGCGGTGTACAGTTAGATCTACAGTGTTAGGGAACTTTGTCCCATTGATCTGCTGGCTTTATGTCCTGCACAGTCCAGTAGAGGGCAGCCTGGCTGGCAGAAGGAGTTAAGCAGTTTGGTTTTACACCTTTGCCAGATGACAATGGAGGAAAATAGAGATTCCTGCTCATTTCTAGCAAACATCTAGCCAAGAGAGCATGCATGTTGAGACACTGGAAAGCTGCTTTAGAGAATATGTGTGGTTTAGAATTATTTTATTGAGAAACAGAAGGAATTTTACAACTTCTGGACAATTGAGTCAAACTTTTCAGTCCCACCATTTAAATGATTGTGAGCCCTAATGGTTGTAACTGTGGTGTTATTTTGTGTCTTATTTTTACAGGGTCAGAAGCACTCGGTAAACCTGGTGACATCTTTTGAGTTTTTTATAATCTGTTTTCCAACTTGAAAATACTCGACTAATTGGATAGCCTTAGAGTCTATATGTATTTCATGCTGTGACTGAAAGTCCCATTTTCCCTGATGCTATTTGGTAATTCCTTGAAGTGAGATTCGGTATTATATAATTCTGTATCATAGTGGTAATGTAGCATTTCAAAAAGCATTCCAATAAATTGAATGGAATGTCCAAACAGGAGCTAAGATGTATACAAGAATTCTGAGTGTTTATTTCCAGGGTAACAGGGATGTGTGATTCTGTCAGAAGACTTCAAACTACACTCTTGGGCCTTTAATCCCACAACGTGCTTCATGGTTACTGATCTGCCCTGTATTAGCCTTAGGGTATGCTGAGGAGCAGTTCAGTTTACAGTGATGAAATCACTGTTCAGTTCTCATTCTTCTGCCCAAGAATGAATTTTTTTATGAATTTTATTTTTTTAATTTAAATTCAATTAGTTAACATACAGTGTATCCAGAATGACTTAAGTTCCCTTATGCCGATGACCCTGTGTAATAAATCAGTATAGCTAGTAGTTAGCACTGGAATAGTCAGGTCGAATTCTGCAGATTAATCTTGTAAAACTAGGTAGGAAATTTGTATATAGGTGGAGAGCTGGGAAGTATATTTTGAGTCAAATAAGTTGGATATAGAAAAGATCTGTTCGGGTGCCTGGGTGGCTCACATGGTTAAGCGTCTGCCTTCGGCTCAGGTCATGGTCCCAGAGTCCTGGGATTGCATCCCGCATCGGGCTCCCTGCTCCTTGGGAGCCTGCTTCTCCCTCTGCCTCTCTCTCTCTCTCTGTCTCTCATGAATAAATAAATAAAATCTTAAAAAAAAAAAAAAGATCTGTTCCCCAGCTTTGTCCACTTACAGTTTATTGAAGGGTGTGAATATATTTATTTATTTGTTTATATGCATATATATTTAACATGTAGCAAAAATGTGTTTAAATTATATTAAAGTTGCCAGTAAAGTTTCAGGGGATAGGATACTACCTCAGCAGTCAGAACTGCTTGAGTTTGAATTTATTAGAGCAAAAGAGAGCATGAGCAGAGGCAGAGGGAGAAGCAGGCTCCCCCACTGATCAAGGAGCCCAATGCGGGGCTCGATCCCACGACCCTGGGATCATGACCTGAGCCGAAGGGAGATGTTTAAGCGACTGAGCCAGGTGCCCCCACACCTTACCTGTTTTCATCTCTAATAACGAAGAATATATAGGACTTCACTACATTTTTTTCAAATCTTATTTACACGATGATCTCTTAAATCCTTACCCAAAGGATTTAATCATTCCGTGCTGACTTTGCAACATTTACTTTTAAGCCTGGATCTCTCAAGTTATTGAGTGACTAGAAACTAAAATACGGTTCACAAATATTTTTGCAGTTATCTGGTTTAAACTGTCTTAACTGTAATTGAACCCCGGGGGCTGGGAGGCACTGAATCCTTCCAGTTCTATTTTAAGTTTCCTGTGTTTTTTTTAAAGATTTTATTTGAGAGAGAGAGAATGAGGGGGTGAGGGCCAGAGGGAGAAGCAGACTCCCTGCTGAGCAGGAAGCCTGATGCGGGACTCGATCCCAGGACTCCAGGATCATGACCTGAGCCGAAGGCAATCGCTTAACCAACTGAGCCACCCAGGCGCCCTAAGTTTCCCGTGTTTATGAGAAAAATCAATGTCTGCAATGTCATGCTTGGTCCTACTGTGCAGTGGTGACCCAGAGCCCATGGAACATCTAAAATAATGGGGAACTGTGCTTCCGCTTTTGACGGTATCCGTGCCAAGGATTTCATCAAGAGTTACCCATATTTAGGGTCTAAGCAAGCTGAGAATGTTTATCAGTGATCCAATGTGGCATCTATGATTTCCTAGATGTTTTAACCCTCAAGGGACCTTAAATACCTACTCAATTTAGAGAACTGAAAAGTGCAGACTATGCCTTAGATTATAGGGCCTTAGTCAACCTGATTCATCTGTGCGGAACCCAAAGTGGGCTGGTCTGCGGTGTGCAAGGGGTATGAAAATGAAAATCGCCCTTCCTGCAGCTTGTTTCATTTCCCAAGGATTATACTATTCTGGGTAATTACTGCTTCTGGCACTGGGGGAGTCAGCTGCAGACCACATAATGGATTGGAAAGTATTCAAAACAATTCAGCAGGTGTAGTCTTTCTCTTTCTCTTCAGTATTAGCAAACCCACGCTGGACTATCCACTGTTCCCTGAATGCGCCTTGTGCTTTGTGTCTTACATCTGCTTGTGCAGTTCACTTGCGTAGAACTTCCCCCGCTTCAAATCTTACCTCTGTGCCTAATTCTGATTTTAACTTTTCCTTAAAGCCTGTCTAAATCATTCAGGGTACTCTCTCCCTCATGAGAGCACTCACAGCGAACTTCCACTATTACAGCCCTACTGGCTACTGTATTATAAATGTGCATATGACAACCTTTCGTGATTGTAATGTGCCTGAAAACAAGATGCTTTTTGGTTTTTATTTGGTACCCACACATAATATTTAGTACATTTTCTTATATATAATCAGTAATTCATTATATATTGAATGAACCTTTAAAATTGACTTGCAAGATATTTAATGTGGCAAAGCAACATAAATCTTAAATTTTTATATGGTGGAAGATGAAGATATTTACAACATATGTGTGGCTTTAATACCCAGTGTGTATGAAGAACTCATTTCAGTTGGAGAAAAAAAAACTGAAAAATGAGCAAAAATATTAAAACGCAATTCATAAAAGAAAAAAGGTGGGTGGGGGATGGGTTGAAGTAGTGACGATGATTGAAGGAAAGCACTTGTGATGAGCACCAGGGGTTGTATGGAATTGTTGAATCAGTTTTGTACACCTGAAACTAACATACCACTGTTAACTATACTGGAATTCAAATTTTAAAAAAATTTATAATAACATGCCTAATAAAGCACAAAAAGTGCAGAACCCCATTACTTACCCAAATAAATATGAGATGCTATTTGTCACCTACCACAGTAGCAGTCGTAGAAAGCACGGTGACTGTCAATATTGGCAGATTTGTGGGGAAATAAGTACTGTCATATTCTTGGTGCATGAAATATGAATGGACGGTACATCTTCAAGGGGCAGTTAGGCCAAACCTATCGAAAACCTTGAAACAACTTTTATTTGTACCTTCCATTTGTTGACTCACATACTAAGTGCCTATTATGCCCTCCCTCAGCTTTGATATAAGACAAGATCCCTATTCTCTGCACTTTTGCTCTAATTAGGCAGGTTTTTAGATTTAAACTGCAATCTTGAATGTTTTTAACTTGAATTTTTAGAAATAATGGAAAGTAAAAAGATTTGGTACCAGATACTAGATGTACCTCTGTTTTCTTACCTAAAGTTAATGAAAAAACATGTATGTTCGAGCAAGTTATGAGAGTCCTTATAGATCCGCAGTTCCTTCTCTGTCCTTACGGCGGATACACATGAAGCATGTGGCCATCGCCATAAAGAAGGCCCTATCGTTCTGAGATGGCTCTATTCCTTACACAGCTGTCTTCCTGTCTTCCTCCTGCCTCTTCCAACTATTTACTGTTTGTTCTACTACCTAGATCTTTAAAGCTTATCTTTTTCCTCATCCCCACCCCAGTCACGCTAAATCTCTCAAGTCAATGGCAAATCTGTTCCTTCCAGTCGTTGGGACTCTTTTTTTAAAAAAAAAAAAAAAGATTTTATTTGAGACAGCGAGAGAGAGAGAACACGAGGCGTGGGGTGGGGGGGCAAAGGGGGAGGGAGAAGCAGACGCCCCCATGAGCTGGGAGCCAGACGCGCGGCTGGAGGCTCTATCCTGGGACTGCAGGATCATGACCTGAGCCCCCGCCCCACCCCCAGGCGCCCCATCGTGACTCATTCTGGATCCCTAACAGCCCACTTCCAAATCTGCAAATCCTGACACCTTTACCTTCAAAACTTGTTACATAAGCGACCATTTCTCCTCTCTTCTGCCCCTACTCTGGCCAAAGCCACTGTTATCTCACTCAGATTGCTGTTTAATAGCCAACTAATTGGCTTCCCTTGATCAGCTTGCTCCCTGGCCAAAATCCCTCAATGGCTTCCATTGTTCTGTGAGGGCCTGTTTGATTTGTAGTCCCTACTTCCACGCCCGCCCGGCAGCCCACATCCACGTTCATCAAGCACTTAGTATTTCCTACAAGGGCTTTTGCATTTAACTGTTTACTTGTAAACCTCCCCCCGAAACCCCGCCACCCAGACAGCTACAAGTCTCACTAACTTCCTTCAGTCCCTGCTGAAATACCACTTCATCAGGGAAGTGTTCCCCTGAACTCCCCTAAAATGACAATTCCTCACCACCCTCTCTATCCAGCTTCTCCTGCTGTATTATCTATTTGTGTACATTATGTGTCCATTTCTCCCTGCATACTATAATTGTTGGGTGTCTACCTTCCTCACGCCCACCCCCACACCTCCTAAGAGGATAAGCCCTGTAAGGGCAGAGACTTCAATTTGTGAAGAGTTCTTGGCATGTAGCACATGCTTTTTTTAAAAATGTGTTGAAGGGATGGATAGACCATTACTTCCAAACCTTTAGTAACTCTTGTTCCCTGCTGTGGATATCGACCCTATCTCAGTGTCTGAAAATGTGATAATCATTCCCTGGGCAATGCCAAGTACTGTGGAAATACGACTTCCCTGATCTAGGTATTCTACTTACGTTAATAGAGCCTGCAATGTCAATTATTTTCCTCTTCTAATTTCTTCTTCCTCTTCCTCCCCCTCCCCTTCTCCTCCTCCTTTTCAGCCGTGTAACTGTTCTGGGAAGAATTCAGGTGTCCTTTGCACAGAAACAAAAAGCAATTGAGAGAAGTCTGCTGGATTTGAACTCACTACCCCAGGATCCCTAAAGAAAACCTAGCTAGTGGTCGAATTACTCTAGCCAATCACCTCTGTTTTTCCTAACTTTGTCATTCATGCATACACAAGGCACAGTGTGCGGGGCACTGAGGGGGATATAAAAATAAAATATAAGCAGAGCCTGTCCTAAATGTTGTGTGTGTCACGTTACGATTCACATAAGCAACAGCATTACATGCTCTGACGTAGTAAGTGCCCTATGAAGGATACTGATTATCGCCCCTTTTCAGGGAGAGATAAGCTACCTCACTTGAGAGAAAAGCATTTGAGCTAAGACTTAAGGTAAGATTTGGATATATGGAAATGGCCTTCTAGAGTCTAGTCACAAGGAAAAGCTTAAGCAAAAGAATGGATTGGGTAAACACAAGAGATGGTCACTAATTCCATTTCACTGGAAGATAATATTTGTTTAAAAAAAAAAAGAATGGCAAAAGGTGGAAAACTTTGAATGCCAGACTGACAAACCTTGTGTATTAGAAATAAGAGTTACTGAGAATACCTGACTAGGAAATGACATCATTAGTTGTTGCCCTAGGATAATGAATCTAGTGGCTGTGAATAAAGGATTCACCCCAAGGTGGCGGCGGCGGGGGGGGGGGGGGGGGGGGGGGGGGGGGGGGGGTTGTTGCTGGAACCAAGGAATCCAGTTTAGGAGGTCTACAATAATCTATCCAAAATAGACGCTTGAGCATGTGTAGTAACAATAGGAATAGAAAAGCAGGAAATCATGAAGGATACAGAGGTACAAAAATTGGCATTTGGTAGAAGGGTTTGAGAATGAAGCAAGGAAAGGGGTAGACCATGGTGGATGTGGTTTTTGAGCCTAGGTAGCCTAGCTGCAGAAATAGAAACTCCAGGAGTTGAAAAGCACACTTGAAAGTCGAGTTTCAAATATGTTGCATTTTAGGTGCCAAACCAAGTTAAATAGAACTTGCTCTCCGTGTGTAAAATTAGGGAGAAGTGGGAGGCATCCATATAGAAATGACCAATGAAACTGTGTTTGTGAGAAGATGTAGAGAAGAGAGGCAATGAATATGAATGTGTGAATACGGCTATATTAGGATTCTTGAAGCCTTTGAAGGTCAAGAAGAGCCAGTGAAAGTAGATTAGGATAGCTAAAATGAAGTAATTCAGGGACTCAACAGAAAACATAAGAATAAAAAAATTTTTCGAGTAAACAGTAAAAAGTGTACAAAGTACTCTGTCCCAGAATGCTTCAGTTAACCACCTCTCAGCAACCTATATCACAAAAGTTTGGCTTCTGAGGTGCTTTCTACCTCTTTTTGAACAATGGTGATTGAACTGTCATATTTACTCCCTAACATTATTAGAATATTTACAGTGTAATCAGTTTAAAACAGGGATGTTTAAAATAATACTTCAGGTGGCACAAGTAAACGTAAATATGTAGACACATACATTGAAGCAAAATGGGGGTGGGGGAGTGGGGAAAGACCGGTCTTTGAGAAATTGAGGCCTTCAATAACCTTGAATCCGAATTATTCCCTGGGTCCGTTTATAATGAGACAGAATGAATCTATACTTGCATTTCTTCTGTCCCTCACACTTACTTTCATTCATACTCACTTCGTGTCCTTCACAAAGCGTGCTGAGTACCCTGCACAGCATAGAAACATGTTTCCCTAACCAGTAGGCTCTTTCAAGTGCACGCCTCGATTTGATTTTAATAGCCTCCTTAGAACCCTTTAACTTACAGCTTTAGGAGCCATTAATGATACATCCGGTCTCTGCACCGAATACATTATCTTAAAGGAAATGTTTGATTTTAAAACCGAAGAGGGGTTCCCTGGCCTCCCACCGTCTCCCTCGTCTTGCTCGAGACGGGAGTGTCCTTTGTGAAAATTGTATTTTCAGTACACTACATTTAGATGTCTTTTTCAAGAAAGACTTCCACTGTTTTTTCCTCCACCTAGCCTGGAGCATGTTCTGGATACTTTCAGTCGACGACACAGGAGCTCTCCAGCTAGGGAGCGGACGCCCTCGTCAACCCTCGCCAGCAATTCCCCAGTTCCCACTTCTATTCGGAAGGGAGGGCCCCTCCCCCCCTCAGCGCTCCCCCCCCCCCCCAGCCCAGCTGTCTCCTGACCCCCTGCGGTCTGCGTCCCCGCCTCGCGGACCCGAGCGGCGGAGAGGAGCCTCCCAGGGCTGCAGCGACGGGGGGGTGGAGGGGGGCGCGGAGCCGAGGGGCCGGGATGGGCGGACACAACGCGGCGCGCCGAGGTGGGCGGGGGACGGCGCGAAGCCCACCGAGGAGGTGGGGACGCGGTGCCGGGGTCCCCGGGAGCGTCGCCGTGCCTGGCGGGGGGGGAGTGGAGGGGCGGGGAGGGGACCCGGGGCGGCGTGCGTGGACCTTGTCCGCCCGTTCCCGCCGCCTCCGCCACGGTCCCCGGGTCGCTCCCCGCCTCTCCCCACCCTCCGAGGGCCGTTGGTACAGTCCCGCCGACTCCGAGAGCTTAAAAAGGGCCGGGGCCGCGGGCCGCCTCAGACTCGGTCCTGATTTGTGCGCGCGGCGACTTTTCCCGCGAGCCCGGATCCGCCACGCTGCTGGGGGACCGGGGAAGGGGTGCCTCTTGATATCTTGGTGGGGGGGCTCTTTAGCTGGCGGTTGAGCGTCTGGGGGTTGTGTGTGTGTGTGTGTGTGTGTGCGCGCGTGTGTGTGTGTGTGTGCGCGCGCGCGCGCAGCTGTGCAGCCAGCAGCTGAGGTCCCTCGTCCCCAGCTCCCCTGCGCTCAGCGCCAGCACTGCAGCCCCGCAGAGAGCCGTGCGCGCAGCCAGCTCCGCGAGGGATGGAGCAGACCGAGGTGCTCAAGCCGCGGACCCTGGAGGATCTGATCCGCATCCTGCACCAGCTCTTCGCCGGCGAGGAGGTCAACGTGGAGGAGGTGCAGGCGGTCCTGGAAGCCTACGAGAGCGACCCCGCCGAGTGGGCGGCGTACGCCAAGTTCGACCAGTACCGGTGAGCGCGCCCTAGCCCTGGCCCCGAGAGCTCGGGCACAGGTCTCCGACGCCCCGCGGCGCCCACCCTCCTCGCCAGCTTTTTCCCGCACCCCCGCGCTGCGCCTTCTCGCCCTCGAGCCGCGGGGCTGGCGCTCGGTGCTTTGGCCCAAAGGCGGAGCATCCGGGCCTGGCCGGAGACTGCGGAAGGCTCCGGGCGTGGAGGCCACCGCACCGCTGCGAAGTGTTTTGTTCTCTTCTCGCCGGTCCACCCAGACGCTTGCAAACCTCCGCTTCTCTCGGCCTCGGGAGCTGTGCTCTTCCCTCCGGCTTGCTCGCTCGCCTCGGGCGCGGCGGTGCGGGGAGACCACCCCCCCGCCCCCCGCAGTGGCCCCACGCGCTTGGGCTCTCCTCGGCCCGCCGCCCCTGGGGGACGGAGCGTGCTTCCCGGAGAGAACTCCATCAGCCATCCCGAGAAAGGGGCGGCGGTGGAGGACACAGTCCCCCGAGCCAGTTCTCCATCAGTCGGTCGCCCGCGGCCGGGCGCCTGCCAACAGGCATTTTGCCCCGATAAAATAGCTGCTTTCAGCTCATGCTGCCCCTCCCAGGCCCATTTAACTTGCCGGACTGAGGGGGTTATTTCCACCCACTCTCAGGGTTGTGAATTCAAGGACTGCTTCCCTTTCAGCCCCCAGGCAATATGCTTTCTCGAATCCTTAGTTCTGAGGCTCTGGAATGTAAATGGGAGACCGCTGCTTGCCAGATGTGCTGGAGTGAGATGGTCCTTTGAAGCTCTGGCTTCGTGATATAAGTAAAAGTGAATCCCTCTACCGGTCCTCTAGCGCCAGAAGTAAAACCTGATCCCCTCTGAAGGGTGAGGGTTTTCTATTCTGAAAGGCAGCTAGTGATTCAGGCTTTATGGCTAGTTGGGCTGAGGGTAGGCAGAGGAAAATACTTGAAAGATAAGAATAAGCAGAGATTGTTTTCCTTGGGAGCAGTTCCTTTTAGTCACCCTACCTAAACATAGTAAGTGTGTTTGTCGGCAAGGGCTGTTTCCTCTGTATTTTAGGAGTTGAAATACAAAAGCGAAGCCTGCTTAAGATCCCATTTTCCACTTGTACATGGCTCCAGGAAATGCCTTTGGTTCCTATCCTTCTGTGGCTACCAGTAAAGCTAGCAGAGTCCACTTTTTCATTTTGCCGCTAGCTCCAAGTGAGGGCTTATTCTGGGCCAGGTACCTTTCCAGGCACTTTAATACACCCTATTAACTCATTTATCTCATGACAGCTCTGTGAGATAGGTACAATTCTTATCCCTGTTTTACAGACGAGGAATGGTAGGCAATAAAAAGGTTGGATTACCTGCACTGGGTCAGACTTATATCAGGAAGCCGCTCTGAGAGTCAAATCAGCATCATTATTCCGAATCCTCACTCGAAACAACCACTAACCTTCCAGCTGATGCCTGGCGCCATGAGTTTGCCCTCAGCCTAGATAGATCATTGACCAAGTGAAATTCACCAACCACGGTAGGCTGGAAGGGCTCTGAATCTTCAGAACAATGGCATTTCCAGGGGCTTTCAGTTCCTCTTGACTGACAGGCTTTGAATCACTTGAAATGCAAGCATTTGTGTTGATCTATTGCACCGGTATCCGGAGGTGCAACTAAGATAATGATGCAGTCCTGGGTGGGCAGCTGGGGCAGTGTGGAGAGAGAGATGTAGGGCAGTGCAGATCATTTTGATAGTATTTTTTTTGTATGGCATAGGTGTCCCAGCACTGCAAAGGATTCTGATCTCTGACCTTGGGAAAGCCAGTGCAGACAAACCAAGACAGAATGTTCTAGTGTGAGCCAGATGGTAAAGTGTCCGGAAATAGCCCCAGAGAGGCAAGGGAGGTGACCCCAAGACTTGTAGAGGGAGAAAAAGAGTATCCTGACACCAAAAGTGGAGTTTATTGGGAATTAAAGGCTTTGTGCACAGCCCCTTGAGAGGTCATCAAGGGCTACCAAGTAAAGATGACTGACATCTAAAAAGCACTTACTAATCAACTTTCTCTCCCTGATCCCGCTCTGCCAGCACCTGACCTCCTGCCTGGGGAGGAAAAGGGAGGAAGGGGCATTCAGGACATAAATGAACAGATGACCGTGTGATCAAACACTCCCCCAAATATGGGAGAAAGATTGCTTGTCTTAAAATATCTGTGTGAAAGTCATGATTTATATCAAACTTTGCTAATTAGATGGTGTGGATGGTAACTTTTCGACCAAGAGAAACTTTAAAAGTGGGTTTTGGTTTTTGTTTTACTGATGGTGTGCTTGTGGTCGTTTCGATTTGGGATTTTTTTGTGGCCAGTTACTGGTTTCTCCTGGAAAAGGTTTAGAGTGTTATTTACTTCCCTATGGAGTGTCCTTTGTTGTATACTTAAGTCAATCCCCACCCTATTTGTGGAGGAATTTTCATTATGAGTGCTTCTGAATGTGGTTTGTGTCTGGGTTTTAGCAAATACTAAGGAGAATTCTAGAAACAGCTATTTAATGAAACCTTGTTTCTTATGTTCTGGTTTAGCTACAGGGAGGAAGGAAAAAAAAAACCATTAGCAACATGCTTGCCTAGAGCAGTAATGTACTTTGTAAATACCTCTGTAAGAAACTTATTCTTTTTATCAGTTTGAGGCTGTCCCGAGGAGAATCAAGGAATTTGCTTTTTATCCCCCGTTACCTTTTTTGTGCCATTAATTAAAACAGAGCAGTTATAAACTTGGTGATACAAAATACGAAAATGTCCAAAATGAACTGTGAAAAAATGCCTAGTTTTCACTTGTGCTGGATTTTTCTAATTAGAAAACCACATTTAAAGTTGTTTAGAGGTAGAAATGTTCACTTTTGTAAGTGAGCCATACTTTGTGACATACTTCTTTTTCCCAATGCATATTTCATCAACCAGATTCAAACTTCTGAATACCTTCCTTTCAGGTATACTAGAAATCTTGTGGATGAAGGAAATGGAAAATTCAATCTAATGATTCTGTGTTGGGGTGAAGGACATGGCAGGTAATACAGTTAATTCATTTGCAGATGCTTAGTCGATGATCTAGTCCAGCCTAAGAAAAGGACAGTACAAGAATGGCCACAGGTCTTGGGAGCATTAACAAATTTCATGTTACAGTTATTTGTTCAAAATGTCCCAACAGAAATTCTCATGGGAATTAACATCAGGGGTTTGGGCATACACCATGTATATCAAAACCAGCCCCCCAAATGAATAGTAAATCAAAGGAGGTAGTAACCAGTTTAACTTAATCTCTCTTTCTCTGTCTGTCTTCTGTGGAGTTAAATGTATATGGAATTTTGCTAAAATTTGACCTTTGTGGTGCTTTGAAGTCTGTAAACAATTGCAGGACCAAAGACCAAAGGGTCCACATTTGGACCCAGAAGAGCAATTCACAAATTCAGAAAATTTCTTGCTACTTCAAGTTAATTGTTTACTGTCTTTGCCTTTTTTAATATATTTTTTTAGTTTTTTATGTAGAGGGCAAGGCGCTTAAACTAATACCAATTCTTTGAAACTTGGTTCCTTAATTTGTCCCTAGTTTATACACTTGTGAGTATTGTTACCTCTGTAAACAGATCCTTTTCGGGCTTTTGAGAATGGTAAAAATAATACTTGCAGACCCGTTTTTGATGGGAGAGAGGAGACCTGAATTTATGAGATTTGGGGGGAGTTAGGTCTATAGAGGATTTCACTCATACAGAATGGCATTGTTTTCATTCATTCTCTCAATATTTTTTGAAATCAGATTATGTCAAGAGTAGGACTAGGCTCTGTGGGTTTAGGAAATGAGTTCTTATGGTTTTATGCATTCAACATAGAAGATAAATGCTAATAACGTACAGGTTCATATGTTTTATTAGCCTAAGTTTACATAAATAAATATTTTCTGCAAACCCAATATACTTTCGTTCTCCCTCCATTGTTGGGAGTTAATCACAGGTGGGGTACTCTAAATCTACAAAATATTAACATGATGGCAGTAAAACGTGTGGGTGTTAACACACATACACATACCTTTTGTCCCCCAAAGCCAGGAGAAAAGAGAAAAGGCCTGGGGGCAAAAAAACCCACTATAAAGTGATCTTACAAGTGTGATGCAGTTACGAGAGATGATTATCTTTATCCTTTCTCAACTTTCTCTGAGGTTTTATAATCGAGTTGTAGCCCAGCTTAATTGAGTTCTTAAAAGCTATGACTTGCAGAAGATAAAAGGTTGCTGGTTTTGTATTTCTGTTATCAAAGAAGTATTCCAACCCGATTTTTAAAAACGCACTGTTCTATACTTCGGTTATGCATCAGCATTGCACCCCTACATGCACTGATACGAAAGACATAGTATGTTATATGTTGCCCTGAATGCTGTTAATTACCAGTCGATGACAATTACAAAGCCAGCTGAAATGGTCTGTGACCTGTCCTCCTGACAGTATGCAGCAGTAGTAAGCTCGGGGCAGAGTGTTATGTGGCTCTGGGTGCTGCTGGACCATCCACTGAGTTTCGTTGTCTTTTTGT